CCAGTCCTGTGGCCACTGCTGAGTTTTCCAAATTTGCTGGCATATTGAGTACAGCACTTTTACAGCATCATCTTTCAGGATTTGAAATAGCTCAATTGGAATTCCATCACCTCCACTAGCTTTGTTCATAGTGATATGCTTTCTAAGTCCTACTTGACTTCACATTCCAGGATGTCTGGCTCTAGGTGAGTGATCACACCATTGTCATTATCTGGGTCGTGAAGATCTTTTTTGTACAGTTCTTCTGTGTATTCTTGCCACCTCTTCTTAGTATCTTCTGCTTCTCTTAGGTCCATACCATTTCTGTCCTTTATTGAGCCCATCTTTGCATGAAATGTTCCCTTGGTATGTCAGTCCATCTGAAAATACTTTATAGCACTCCCTCAGTTGTTGGAATTTTAGTGGAAAAACTAGCTATTTAAGTGAATTTTAAGTATCATGAGCCATAATGAAGACAGGAGCTATAAATAAAACAGAGCAACAGTAGAATAGTTGAATATACTAGAATATGTGATACAATGAAATGCCAAAGAGCAATGAGAGGGAGCAACCTACAACCTACACGATGATATAAATGCATTGCACAAACAGGTTGAGTGAAAGAAGCCTGACAAGATGCCAGTACACGGTGTGAATCCATTATTCAGTTCAAAAAGAAGCAAGACAAATTTTTACAGTTAGAAGTTGGGGTAGTGTTTACTTTTAGTGTAGGAGTGGAGGTGGGCAAGGACTAGAAAAAAGGGAAGACTACCAGGATGCTGATCACCACCAGTATCCAAATCTGGTTGATGTTACATGGAGCTGTGTTCAAAGTGAAAATTAATTGAGGTGGTTCTTGTCACTTTTCTGTTGAAGAAAGAATGCAAATAGCATGGCTCTTGGCCTGTGGGATTAACTTGTAAACATGTATCAATGTGGTTCATCTTTTAAAAAGTGAGCTTCCGCCCGTAATGAGATGAGTTTGGGAATTGGATTTATAGGAATGAGTCGCACTTGGGGAAATGTTATTACAACCTCCCTGAGAGATGTAAAATGCAGCTCATAATCACGGTTAGAGACTTCCTGTAGAACAGAATGACCATCCCTAGACCATAGAACTCAGGATGCAAAAACTACAATTAAGTGATACTCCAGCAATATCCTAAATAGCAAAGAATTAAATACTGCCTTTGTGAAGTGAGAGTATACAGCAGAATCACGAATCCCATATAAGCCATGTAAGAAAACTATCTGTACACTTCATTTAAGACATCAAGAAGCTTCAAGTACCCTGGTGGCTCAGACGGCCAAGAGACCGCCTGCAATGCAGGAGACCTGGGTTTGATCCCTGGGTGGGGAAGATCTGGAGAAGGAAATGGCAACTCACTCCAGTATTCTTGCTTAGAGAATTCCATGGACAGAGAGGAGCCATGGGATCGCAAAGAGTCCGACTCGACTGACAGCGACGAACACAAGATTAGCTCAGCAGAATTTGTGCGCGCAGGATCAGTCGCTTCAGTCGTGTCCGACTCTTTCCGACCCTATGAACTGTAGCCCGCCAGGCTCCTCTGTTCACGGGATTCTCTAGGAAAGAATACTGGAGTTGCTTGCCATACCCTCCTCCGGGAGATCTTCCCCACCCTGCTGGATCCCGCATTGCCGGCGGGTTCTTTACCGCTGAGCCACTGGGGAATCCGAGTAACCCAGCAGGAATGTGGTAATACTAAGTATTATGGGACTTGTAGTTTCGGACGCAGCGGCACGTTCTCCCCCACCTCCACCCCAATCCTTTGGGATTGGCGAGGAAAATGTGACTTGCTGGGCAGTGAACCT